AAGATGCAAATGAAGCCCGGGATATTTAAATCCCGGGCTTCATTTGCAACTTCGAATGCCGACATTAGCCTCCCTAGTTCGAATTAGGGTGGCAGGGTAGACATACCCTAACTGACTGCAGGCAATCGATTCCTCCCCTCACCCATCCTCCCTCCGTGTGCTGGGAGGAGTCAGTGAAGCAGAGCTGCTCTCCTCTCCCCCTGGAGAAGGTTTTTGGGGGGAGCAGGGTTTGTGTTTTGCTGCAATTCTTAAGTCACCTCGTCAGGAGCCTCGGCCCCCGACAGCCCCAAGCTACTCGGACCACAGCGTGAGGCTCCCATCCCGTCTCTCTGCCTGCCCATTTCAGGGTGGGCCTGTAGGGCCACGCTTGGCCCCAGGGAGCTGAGAGGTGGCTGCAGACCCCCCTGCAAGGGTTGTAAAGAGAGAGAAGTGCCAAGGCAGGCATGGTCACTGGCTTTCCCCGCTTCAGAGGAGGAAGGGCTGGTGTGCGCAGGTGTGACGCCAGCGAGTGTGTCTGAGGAGAGGGGCCTGGCCGTTCCCTCAGCCGAGCGACGGGGTCGTTCTGAACCAAAACCGACTGCACCCCGCTAACGAGCAGAGCTGTAAAAACCAAACCCAGTGCGGCACGAAACCTGCCCGTTGTCTCCTCGCCAATGTGCTTGGTGCACTCAGAGCAAGAGTCTGCAGCAGTCGGATTCCATCCAGCGAGTGTGTCTGAGGAGAGGGGCCTGGCCGTTCCCTCAGCCGAGCGACGGGGTCGTTCTGAACCAAAACCGACTGCACCCCGCTAACGAGCAGAGCTGTAAAAACCAAACCCAGTGCGGCACGAAACCTGCCCGTTGTCTCCTCGCCAATGTGCTTGGTGCACTCAGAGCAAGAGTCTGCAGCAGTCGGATTCCATCCCTCGTACTGGAGACTCTGCACCTGGCTCTTCCAGTTATTGTGGAGCTGGAATTCAACACCTTGGCCAGAGAGAAACTTTCAAGTTGGAAGGGATCTGAGAGCAGCCTTCAGCTCCCTGAAGGGAGGTTCCAAAGAGGACAGAGGTGTGGAGAGGGTGAATAAAGAAAAGTTATTTATTAGTTCCCATAATAGAAGAACTAGAGGACACCAAATGAAGTTATTGGGTAGCAGGTTTAAAACTAATAAAAGAAAGTTCTTCTTCACACAGCGTGTAGTCAACCTGTGGAACTCCTTGCCAGAGGAGGCTGTGAAGGCTAGGACTATAATAGAGTTTAAAGAGAAGCTAGATAATTTCATGGAGGTTAGGTCCATAAAAGGCCAAGGGATAGAAATGGTGTCCCTAGCCTCTGTGTGTCAGAGGCTGGAGAAGGATGGCAGGAGCCAAGTCACTTGATTATTGTCTTTGGTCCACCCCCTCTGGGGCACCTAGTGCTGGCCACTGTCGGCAGCCAGGCTACTAGGCTAGATGGACCTTTGGTCTGACCCAGTACGGCCGTTCTTATAGAGAGAGGCTGGTCTCAGTGGTGACAGATGGCAGAACAAGGAGCAATGGTCTCAAGTCGCAGTGGGGGAGGTCTAGGTTGGATATTAGGAAAAACTATTTCACTGGGAGGATGGGGAAGCACTGGGCTGGGTGCCCTAGGGAGGGGATGGAATCTGCATTCCTAGAGGTTTGTAAGTCCCAGCTGGACAAAGCCCTGGCTGGGCTGAGCTGGGTGGGTGCTGCTAGGTATATCATGTAAATAAAAGCTAAATATTTCCCATAATGCTATTTAAATATGAATTGCGCTACAGTGAATGAAACAACGAACTGAAACTCCTGTGGTTCTTTTGGGTAATGTTCATCCCTCATTTGGCTCCTGAACCCCTGAGGTCTGGGGATGACTGGTGTATATATTCTTATGCCCTGACGCGACTTAGAAAGGGGTGTTGTGCAGCATCCACCCTGTTCTATGTTTGCAAGGCAGGGGGCTTCACTTGACTCCCGAGGTCTCTGCCAGCCCTGGGATTTGATGATTCTAAGTTACTTTGTAACATCCCAACTGCAGTCTCTTGTCTGTTGATGTGGGGCCATCCGTGACATCCCGGAATAACTCCAGGGTGGCTCTAAAACCTGTCTTCTCTGAGGCCACTTGGGCAGGGTGCAGCTCACCTGGTGCAGTGAGCCCAGTGAAGGCCAGAGTCTGCTAATAGGCTGTTGTAGATAATTGCCTAACCTCTGGAAACACCTGGGTGGGAAATGTCTCTTTGACCTGCCTCTTTCTAGCCATCCGGGGCCTAGCATCAGGCCAGTGACATGCTGCAGACAGACCCCAGCCCCTGAGATAAGGAATGAGAAATGCCCGAACCTTTAGATTTCTCTCCTCGCCCGCCGAGAGTGAGACTGATCTCTGGCGTCTGTTTCACTTCCAGCTGCTGACGGGATCGTGCTCAAAACACACAGAGGCAAAGAGGAAGCTGCCGTGGACTCTTGGGAGCCTGTCCAGGCCCCCGGGGAGGAAGCCCCTGACTGCCAGGAGGTGCCGGGGACGTTGCTGGGGCGATTGGAAGAGGAGGGTTTCCGGGAGCCGGGGGAAACAGCCGCCCGGGAGGCTGAACGTGGCTCCGTAACGCAGCCGAGAAACCACGTGGAGAGCAGGCCCGTCCGTTCCGCTCCCCGGGGCGGGGCCCTGCTGTCCCACCAGCGGAAGAGCACCCGCGAGAGGCTGTTCGTGTGCGCCGTGTGCGGGAAGAGCTTCCGGCTGAGGATAAATCTCGCCATCCACCAGAAGGGCCACGCGAGCGAGCTGCGGTACGAGTGCCCACGCTGCGGGGAGAGCTTCCGGGCCAAGCAGGCCTTTCTGCTGCACCTGCGGCGCCAGACGGCCGAGGGAGCCTGCGCCGCGCCGGAGGGGAGTGCCCCCCCAGCGGCTCCCGCCGCCTCCCAGCCCCGCCTCCAGCCGGACGACTGCTCCGGCAGGATCCCCAAGCGCGTCAAGAGGCTGGCTCCCCAACCCAGCCTGAGCAGATACCAGCCGCCTCGCGAGCCAGCCACCTACACGTGCCGGGAATGCCTGGAGCACTTCTCCAATAGGAAGTGCCTCGTGCGGCACAAACAGATGCACGCCGGCTGCGGCAAGGGCTCGCTCATCCTGTGCCCCTACTGCAGCAAGAGCTTCAGCCGTCCCTCCGACTTCATTCGGCACCAGCGCATCCACACGGGGGAGCGGCCCTACCAGTGCTCCCAGTGCCACAAGGCCTTCAACCGGCACCACCACCTGGTGGACCACCAGAAGATCCACACGAAAAGGGAGCGGCCGTATGAGTGCGGCGAGTGCGGGAAGGCCTACATCCGCCGGCAGCACCTCCTCAAGCACAAGCACAGCCACAGGGAGACAAAATCCTAACAGGCAAGGAGCCAGGCAGCAGCTCCACGGAGGGGCCAGGCGGGCAGCCCAGAGGGGGCTGACCGTGGAAGGCTTCCTGGCTGAATAGTCACCCGACGGCGTCCTCGCTCAACGCCGGGGCTGTGCAGGGGGAGCCAGGTTGAGGACCGGTCATTGATTTGTAACAACCTGGGAGACGAGGGTGTTGCCTTGATTTCACCTCCTCCTGCTGGGGTAAAGCAGGCCACGGTGCGTCAGTGCAGAGGGGAACATGGGCATGATGGTCCAGGCAGCTTTGTTCCTGGATAAGAGGTTGCAAGAAAACGCCCGGCCACGGCGGCATGGCCCGATCGCAGGGGAACGAACGGGCAGCACGTGAATATCAAAGTGAAAATCCGGTTTCAGTGGGACACTACCGGGTGGGGGAGGGAGGCGTGGGCCACGGGCTGCTTGCTGCCACGGATCAGCAGCTCCTGAGAACAGCTTTGGATCCACGTCGGTGTGTAAACAGACTGGCCCACATGGATCGCCTGGGCCAGCAGCCCCACCCTGGGACTTCCCTCCCATACGTGGAACGGAGCAGCTCTTATTGGAAAAAAAATAAATCCAGTCTCAATTTTAAAACCGTCACGATCCTGTGAGCCTGGGAGTGCCCCTGGCTGGGGCTGGGCGAGCGGGAGGAGCCCTGCTCCCCGTGTGCCGCGGGGGGTGGGACGCGCCTCCAGCTGCCGGCTGTGTGGGTGGGGGTTGCACAAAGCTCCC